CATTTTAAACAAACCAACTCCTCGGGAAAGATTTATATAAAAAACGAAATGAGCAACAGCGAAGGACACTATCTTTCCAAACTGTGCAATTCCTCCTTTGAAAAATATTTTCCCTAAGGCCAACCCCGCGGCGGGCCGACCCTTTGGAAGTCTCGGCTCTTCCTGAAAATCACAACAAAGCCATCGGAAATGCGGCCTCGCGCTTGGGAAGAAGAGGAACCGGACGCCCGGGGAGCCCACAGTGGCCTTAGCTGTCCTGCTCTCCTCTTTAACCAAAGAAGAAGAAGAAGAACCTTTTAATACATCAAATATACGGAATTTTAATCTTTAAAGCGATACATTGTCTATTATTTTAGTACATGACGTAAACCTTGTCCACTTCTCAGCGGTGGACTTAAAAATTAAAAATAGTTAAGTGTTCCTTTTAAAGAACAAAATAAGGCAAATGAGGTTTTGGAATAGAACTGTTTTTCCTTTTTTTTTCCTCCCAGAATACATACAAAAAAATACCCATTCTCTTTCGATGGTATACACCTTAAAAATAATTGAACTTTGAAATCAGAGCTGACAAATTGTGAGTCGCTTTGTTTCGTCGGTTTCATTTTTTGTAACAAACATGCATATGTAAATTTGTGTTTCAATCAGACATTAAATAAGAACGTACGATACAACCATAGCAATTTTAAAGTAACATTAAAGAGAAGAACTCTAGTTCTGTGGCGGTTTTGATTTTATTTATAATCTACAAGGGATAGGAGGGTTTGTTTTCCACGTTTCTACCCTCAAGTTTAAAAAATTTTTTTCTCCCTCCTCTTTTTTTTTTTAAACCTACGGAGCTCAAACTAAATAATGCACTTTTGAACCACGCGTCCGCTTGGAGCTAACATAAATAAATACCAGTGTTCACCGATGAAGTCCTCGGGTGAGCACTTTTCTCAATTATTTTTTTCCTTCTTTTTCTATAAAAAGTCAAATGATATTTTTTTCAACTTTTATAAAGTTTGGGTGGGGAGGTGAGAGGGGAATTTTCCACCGGGTCTGCATCGTTGCTGTTGGGCTGATAGACGCGGTATGATTTTTCCTTCCGTGGCCCGGGTCTTCCCCACGCGCGGAAGCCAGCAGCCTCGGCGGTGATCCCGCCCCTCCCGGGGCTCCTCCCCTCCCTTCTGCTCATTTCGGTCTCTCGCTGGCCGCCCCGGCCGCCCTCACTGATACCCCAGCGCCGAGGCGGTGGTCAGTCTCTGTCCGTACAGGGCGTAGGGGGAGTAATAGGGTCCGGTGGCGGCGGGCACCGGCACCGGGGCGCCAGGCGTGGGGAGCGGGCTCTTGGAGTAGGGGTGGTAGCGGCTGCTGAGTCCCAGCGCGTGGTGGGGGCTGCGCAGCGCCAGGGTCCCTGGGCTGCCGGGCGCGCCCGACGTGGGGATGTGCATGTGGCAGGCCATGGCAGCCGCGGCGGCGCTGGCCAGAGAGGACGAGCTGGGGTAGCCCGACAGCAGTTTGTCTGTCCCGGGGAAGGCCGTATGGGTCCGCAAGTGGCTCAGCAGCTCTTCAGACGTGGCGAAGCGCTTGTCGCACGGCCCGTTGGCCGACACCCAGTTGCAGATGTGAGGGAGCGGGTCGTTGGGGAGCATGAAGCCGTAGGGGTAGAGTGGGTGGCCGGCCAGGGAGGGCGGGGTGGCGCCTGCGGCGGCGGCGGCAGTGAGCGAGGAGTGCACGCCGTGCAGCGGGTGCGTGGGGTACACCAGCGGGTATCCGGACTTGAGCGCGGCCGCCGCGGCCGCGGGGTCATGCGCACACGAAGCGCTGGCGGCTGCCGCCCCGGCCAGGTGGCTGGCGCAGTGGTAGCTCAGGCAGTACGGGTCCCGGCACAGGCTGGCTGTCATCACAGAGGGCGGCGACGCCCCGGCCAGAGGGCTGGAGCCTGCAGGCTTGCTGCAGCCGAGAGAGCCGGCCGCGGCCGCTGCCAGCTGCGCGCCCACCAGGCTGCCAGGCTTGGTGGGGTCGAGCGCCACGCCGTGAGGCAGGAACTGGGGCGGGTACCCGGCGTAGGCCCCGGCCAGGCTGCCCGGGTAGGTCATGCCCGCGGGAGGCAGAGGGAACACTGTCTGGCCTGGCTTGTACGGAGACACAGGGGCCACCAGCCCCGAGCCCAGCACAGAGGAGGAGGTGGGCGCGCTTGGGCCGGAGCCAGAGCTGGAGCCGGAGGAGCCTCCGCAGTCCGAGCCCAGCGCCTTGCCCCCCGGACCCCCGTCCGGGTGCTGGTTCACGTCCACGTTGATGCCGCCGCCGCAGCTAATCCGGCCGTGCGCCAGCCCCGTGGATCCCCCTTCAGCCGGGGCACCCCCCGCGCCCTTGCCGCCGCCGCCCCCGCCTGCTTCGGGGTCTTTCTTGTCGTCCTTGCCCTCCGGGCCGCCCCCAGCCGAGGGCAGCATGCCTCCTGGCGAGCAGGCCGAGGCGCTGGAGCTCGGGCTGCCTGTCCTGGGCGTGAATGGCTGGCAGGTGGCGCTCGGTACCCGGAATCCGGACTTCTCCGCCGAAACACCCCCGCCGCCGCCCCCGCCGCCGCCGCCTCCCGCGCCGCCTCCCGGCTCCTTCTTATCCGAACCGGGTTTGGAGTACGGCTTGAAACTCGACTTGTCCTCCACGCCAATGTCGCTCAGCTTCAGGGGGCCCGACTTGGTGTCCTTGTCGCCCCCGGCGCCGCCGCCTGCACCACCCGCGCCGCCCCCGTTGGAGGCGACAGAAGAGAGTTTGGAGGAGGGCGAGGGGTCGGGCTTCCCGATCTGCGAACATGTTTGCGCCAGCAGCGCCAGCGGGCTCTTCTTGGCATCGAGCTGCAGGGTCAGATGGGGGGGGGGTCACACAGAGAAAGAGGGGAAACCCTTTAGATTCTTGGCTTTTAGGGTTCTAGGGCCCCTCCGCGACAGCCTGTGTAGAGCACGGCAGACCCAAGGCGCAACCCAAGGCGGCACCCGCTCCGCACCCACCAGAGAAGATTCTCGCCCTTGGGAGAGGCCCCCCCTCACCGGTCTGGGTGCTGCCTGCATTCGCCAAGCTCTAACTGGATTTGGGGAGGGAGGGGTGTCTCAAAATGTTTTGGTTTTCGGCTCCCAGAGCCAGAGGTATATCCCCCTCCCCGCAAACACTCCTTGATTCTTCTAGCAAGGGCTTGGACGGCTGGCGCCCCGGAGGCTGTGAACACAGCCTAGCTTCTGGGGAGCCTGAGCATGGCGACTTTGGGACGCTATTTCAGGCCCCCGCCCGCCTTTGGGCCCCAGTAGGTGGGGGCTTGGGTTAGGGCAGGGGGTTTAATACTAAAAGGAGACACAAGTTTGGGCCGCCTTGCGCTCGCATTCGCACCCCATTCCGCCCTAGTTTTGAGGTTCAGAAGCACTGTTCTCTTCCCCCATCCCAAAGCTGAATCACTCCGATACCCCGCCCCCACCCTCGGATCCCAGCGGAAAGAAACCCCGCAGGGGGGCAGCCAGGGTAGTGGCCCCAGCTTGACCCTGGGAGAGGGTCCTTACCTCGATGGGGCTGACAGGCGTGGAGGGCAGGGGCTGCAGGTATTCAGGGTGCAAAATGTGGCCAGTTCGAGCCGTCAGCATCTTCAGCACCTTGATGGGCAGGCGGTTGGCCTGGCGCAGGGGGTCAGAGGGGGGCACGGCGTGCACAAAAGGCTTGGTGCTGCCGGGCGGGGACGAGCCTGGGCCCGGGCCGGAGCTATTTCCAGAGAGCGCGCTGCTGGTCCAGGCAGGGTCCGCGCCGCCGCTGCCGCCGCTGTGCTTACTGCTTCTTAGGGCAGAAAGCGAGGGCGCTGTGCTCATGACCCACCCGCGCGCATGGGAGCAGCGGGGGGAGGCGCGGGGCGGGCTCGGGGCTGCGCGCTCGCCCGGGGTGCAGGAGCAGCGGCAGGAGGAGGAGAAGAAGCCGGTGCGGCGGCTACCGGCACCCAGCGCGCCTTCTCGGCGCCTGGAGCCAGAAACGAATAATCCTGGGCAGCCGGCCGCGGAGCCGTGGCCAGGCCGGAGCGGCCGGCGGGACTGCGGGAGTCACGGGCGGCGCGCGGGGTCCGCCTGGCGCTGCGCCCCTGCGCTGCGCGCTCGCGGCCCCGAGCCGGCGCTGCGCTCTGCGCTCTGCGATGTGAGCCGCTGCCTGTCCAGCCCGGGCTCTGGCGAGGAAACTCACTTCAAAAGCAGCTGCACCGTGGGGGAGATTAAAGCCTTTGCCGCCTTCCAATCAAATGGGAGCCCGAGGTGATTGGAGGGTCAAGGGGATGTGACGCGTCCCGCGCCGCAGCCGCCGCCGTCGCCGCCGCTAGGACTCTCAGAGCTGGTTTTAATGGGCAGCGCTCTCCTCACCGCCCCCCTGCGTGTCCCCTCCCTTGTTCTCGCTCCGAGGACGAGGTGGACGTTTATTCTACGTTTGCCATCGCCGCCTCCCTCTTTTTTCTTCCTCATCGTCCTTCCTTTTCCCTGCTGGAAAATAAACTGAAACCTTCTTTTGAAGGTGTGTGTGTGGGGGCGTGTGTGCGGGTTGCTGCATGTGCGGAATGGCCCGCGGGGATGTCCAGAGGCACCCGCGGGTCTCTGGATACAACTCCGATTGTCAACTACTGGGGCGCACAGGGGGCCCGCACCCCAAATGTTCTTTTCTGTAATTGCGATCCCGCGCTGTGCGGCGGCCAGGGTGGGGAAAGGTGTAGAGCGGGTGCCGGAGGAAGTCCGCCCGCCCGACTGGATTTCCCCAGATTCTGCGGAGGAGAAACCAGAAGCTAGAAGGACAGCGGAGGCGGTGGCGGCTCCTCTCGGCGACGTGCGCCCGGCACTCCGCCCTTTCTGGTCACGTGATGCCCCGGGAAGCGCGGATTGGGGCAGGCGCGGGGGTCACATGTTTCCTCTGTTTCACACTCAGCCGCCCCCCTATCTTACTCTCTCCTGCCTCCCCCCCCCCCCAGCGGTTCTTGGGGTATCTCCACCCCTCCATCAATTGTCAATGTGCCTCGACCGCAATCAATCAGTTATTTGTCAGCTCTTGTCAATCCGCCCGTGATTTATGTCAGCTTTTGTTGCTGATTACAAGGCTGGTGCGACTTGAAGGGAAAAAGGGAGAGGGAGAGGGAGAGAGACAGAGAGGAAGGAAGAGACCGAGGGGGAACTGGAGGAGGGAGAAAGAGGAGCCGCCTCCTGGGATGTTGGGGGGGGGCGCTAAGAAAAAGAATGAAAGAAGGGGAAAGAGGCGCTCAGTGTCAGGAAAATGAATAGCGAGAGTAAAGTGCGCAGGTGCGCCCGGGGCGCCGAGATGGGGCGCGCAGGCCCGGCGTGTGCGCTTCGCTTCTCGGTGTAGGAGGGACAGATGCACCGTCCACCTGGGTGGACGCCGCAGAGTTGGGAGGCTCGGGGTGACCAGGGCGAGCGGCCGCGACGTCTAACGCGGGAGATTTCCTGCCTCCCCGGGGTATCCCTGCGGGAGTGCCAGGCTGTGCTATCCGGCCGCGGACACCACCTTTCATAGTGCCCCGACCCCACACTCGGAGACTTCTTTCCAACAGCCGCGCCACCCACGTAACCTCGAGTCCTGGAGGTTAATGGTGCTGTAGCCAAGGGGGATTCTTTGATCCCCTGGGATTGCAGCGTGGACTGCACGGCTGCGGGGAAGAGGCTTGACCATGGGTGTTGGGGAAAACACGCTTCAGGCTCACTACGCCGATCTGTCGCCCTCCCCCGGTGCCCACTCCTCGCCGTCCTCGCAGTCCTGGGAGCCTGGGCTCCTCGGGACTGCTCGCTCAGAGGTCACAGGACGCCGAGCGGGGACTGCCCGGCGCGGGTAGAGCAGAAGGAAGGAGTGAAGGGAGAGGGCGGCTGCCGGTGGGAATGCGCGTTCTTCCCAGGAAGCGGAGCGGGACTGCCGCGTTCCCCTCGATTTGCACCGTCAGCCGGGCCTGCCGTTTGGACAGAAGAGGGAGGCGCTGTGCGTGTCGCGGTGTCCCCGGACGCGGGCGCACAGAGTATACGTGCGTGTGTGTGTGTGTGTGTGTGTGTGTGTGTGTGTGTGTGTGTATCTGCGCCGCTGTCGCAGTGCTCAGGGCCTCGAGAGCGTCCGGAGCGAGTTCGAGGGTCACCTCCAGCAATTCGCAGAAACTGAAAGAGGGGAGGACACACCTCCTTCCTCGGGAGGACTTGGAAGACTTTGCATCTCCCCTCCCCCACTTTTCCGCCCGGCTCTTCTTTTGTTGTCAAGTCCTTTTGATAAATGGTGGGGCTGGAAGCGCTGGGAGCCTGGAGTCCGTCTGTGCCGCGCGGGGCGGGGGCCGGGTTTCGACCGGCGCGCACCCGGAGCGGAGCCGGGTACGCGCGGGGGTCCAGACTGGGACCTACCCTCACCCCTTTCCCCCTTCTGTCTGTTTCCCACTCCGCAAGGGTACAGAGAACTTTCTGGGGTGAGTTTTAGAATTTTCTCCAAGGCATTTTTTTTTTTTGCGTTTTAATTTTATCCTTTGATTCTTTTAGGTTGATGAACTTCATGAGATGGTAACTTGACTAAGGCCAATTTGGAGAGGAGATAGAAGGGTACTGAGGAGATGTGTGTGTGTGTGTGTGTGTGTGTGTGTGTGTGTTAGAATACACCTACATTCATTCAAGGGGTTTGTAGGGTCTCTGCGCGGCCACCGAGGAAGGTAAGTCCGCGAGCTGGTGGCGCGATCACCCGCGAAGCTGTGAGGTTGTCCGCGGATCTTTAGAGAGCAAGTCTGGGCCCTGGTTTTCGAGGGCGGACAGTCCTGAGCAGTCTCTGCCGGGCAGCGTGTCTGTGACGCCGCTCTGGTCCTGCGGGCTTTAGTATCTGTGTCACTGGGTGCATGGCTGTCTAGTTGTGAACTCTGGCCTAAGGCAGTGCTCCCGGGGTCTCGAGCACAGTCGTGAGCCTCGAGTCACCGCGTTCTCTTCCAAAGGCCCTGGAGGCTGGGGCTGCCGACTGCAGTGGGAGTGACCTCAGCCCGGGGCATCCTTCTCTACTCTCTGGTCCAGTCTTAAGGCGCAATTTCCCCCTTCCTCTTAGTCCAGGAGCTTTCTTCCTGTGCCGGGCAGCTCAAGGGAGACCATTCCAGCACCCAAAGCCTGAGGGAGCGGTGGGGTGGCCCCCGCGCCCTCGAGAGCAGCAGCACTCGCTCGTGGGTCTGCACAGTTCCTCGAGGGCGCGGGTCGCGGGTTGCGCGAGTTCTCATCGCTCCAAACTCAACTCCGAAGGTCCGAGCGCATGGGGGCGCATGGGGGCCTGCGCGTTCCGGGCTTTTGGGAAGTACCAGCGTCCGAGCCTGCGCACCTCGTGCGGGAGGCCGAATCCCCGAGGGCCGAGAGGGGCCCGGGCGGTGGGGGTTATAAATTACTCCACAGGCCTAATGTCTCCAACCCCACCCCCCCGGCGGCGGCTGGCGTGGGTGTCCTGGGGGTTTTATTTGCACACAATGGAAATGATTTGTTTTCTCTTAAAAAGGAGTGGGCATGGCAGATATTTGAGGAAGGAGGTGGGAGGAGGAGAAGGAAGGAGAGAGAGCTGAGGAAAAAAGTTTGAAAATGCCTTGAACTATTCACTGTCGAGATGGCTAATCAGTATTGAGGCCGGAGGGCAGGCGGGCCGCCTTTCACCGCCGCATCCCTTTCATCTCGGGCTCGGCGGAGGCGCTCAATTAAAAGCCTATCAGTTTGTAAGTAAATCAACGCCTATCAGAGTTGTCACATCAAACAAAACGATTATTATTGCAGCCCGCCTCCCCTATTAATCTCCCTCGAAGATAATCCGCCTGACAGGTCAGGCCCGGCGAGCTGGAAAGCCTGGCCCAGAGCGCCCAAACAGTCCAGGACCGGCTCGCGCCCCCAGGGGCCTCCCCACCCTCGTCCTGTTCCGTGTCGCAGTCCCCGGGGAGGGGCCAGAGAAAGAGCGCGCCGAGGCCCCTGGCCCAGACCCGCCACACCCGACGGCGAGCGAGCCCTGGATTTGCCGGGCCCCAGGGGACCGCCTTACTCAGCCCCAGCCTTGTCGCGGGGTCTGGGAGGGTCCAGGCGAGCAGGAGTGGTGGCTAGGCTTTTGTCTGGGGGCCTCACTGTGGCCTGCGCTCTTCTAGTCTTTTACACCGAGCCCCATCCCTCTCCTTTCTGGTCCACCTTGAACAGAACTCCCTTTCGCCCCTTCATTTCCTTTTCCTTTTCCCCTTTCCTGTTTATAGGGAGAGTATCTCGGCATACTACCTCCTGCACAGCGACGATGGCTCCAAGTACCTAGAGCATTCTCGGTTGGGGTTATTTCTCCCGCGGCAGAAGTTGCCCTGGAACTGTGTGCAGTTCCCCAGATTTTATAACAAAGTCCTCCCAAATTTCTTCCGAAGCAGGGCTAATAGAAGCTCTGAGCCTGGTTCAGGGTTGCATGCCTAAGACAGGGACTTGTGGGGAGAAGGGAGCATATGCAGGGCGAGGGACAGTTAAGATGGTGAACCTTTGCAAGCGCCCTGTTGTGGAATTAGAATTTGGTTTTGTAATTTCAGTTACAGCTGGCTATTGGTAGTTATTTGGGCTTTGCAAATATATGAAAGAGACCCTCAGGGCATAGACTTCAGCACTGGGCGTGCTAGGAGGTGCCTAATGTTTCATAAGTAAGTGCATCCTGATAACTGTTTTGGTGGCCTCTAATTGATGCCTTGAGGGCCGGGTAGGGTCTGGATTCTGGACATGTGTGAAAATCGTGGCTTTCTTGGTGACTTCTGCTTTGGAGCTTTGGAACACTTTGGGGTCAAGCTCGACCAGGCCTTTTCTACTGTCTTCCAACCAAATCCATAGTCCTCAGCTCCTGCTGCCAAAGCCACAAGGAGCCAGGATTGAGGGCTGGCTGAAGTGTTTGAGAAGAAAAGGCAGCTAGGGAACCCCAGGCCTTGCTACCTTAAATGTCAGGTCTTTCTCTGGGTCTGCATCAAGGAGAACCCCCAAAGTGAAGCAGCTTTGAGTGTCCAGGCCGAGTCTGTCTCACTAGCAGGCCCGGGTTCAAGGCCACAGTCAAACTGTCCACATTAGCCTGCTTGGGGTACTGAGCTGCAGAACTGGTGGCCCACACCCAAGGTTCTCAAAACTTGTGTTTGATTTCACCGTCTACAGCTGACCTTGGAGGAATATTTACTTCTGTACCCAGAAATATTATATTGATACTGTGGCTAATTTATCTGCTTGCTTGCTTTTCTTAAACTATGTATATTTCATCTCTGCTACGCTGCAGATATTTAAGGAGCTATAAGGAGATTAAGGAGATATTGCACCCTTCCACTACCTATGGGAAATATCCACTGGGTGGTTATTTGGACATTAAATTCTATGTCAAACTCAGGTGACACCCAGCAGGAACTGTAAAGAAAAAAAAACCTCGCTCTATAATTTTTCCAACTTAATTATCTGTGCATACACCGGGCATTTAAAAGTATTTTATATGCCTTTGTAAATCTAAATATTCAGATGTGCTGTTAGATGCCCTTGAAGCCAGAGTGATCAGTAGTATTCGAATTGGATGTGTAGCTATTTGTAGAATTTTGTTTATCTCTCTCCACTTACACGTTAATCTCAATCTAATAAATTCAACCTTGTCATTTTTAGAATCGACGAGATTTCTCTGACTGTCATTTGCATTGAATTTATCCGAATAAATCCAACTCTCAGGCATCCAGCAGAACCCGCTCTCTACTGGCAAGCACTGTGCGATGCACCCGGCCCAGCCAGGGTTGCGGGGTGGCTCCCGGGGCTCAGGGCGGCAGGTCTGACCTCCGAGGTCGGTGCACCAAAGGAAGGCACCCTCAGCTCCAGCGGCTTCTCGCTGCTCAGCGGTGTCTGGCGCCTTCACTTTGCTTAATGCCTCGGGAACTTGCCTGGCTGAGTCCGCCAGCAGCGAAAAACTGAAAGCAAACTCTACTGCAGACGTAGCCTGAACTTTTCTCGACCCAAGTTTGCAACCAAGATTGGTGACGGCTTTGGGAGGACCTCGGGCTTGGGAGTGCGCTGGCGCGGGGCAGGGTGGGGTCAAAGAGGGCACAGGATGGCCGCGCCTGGCCGGAGGCGAAAATGCTAGGGAAGCCTTCCACTCCACTCCTACTTCTTTACAACTCTGCGGCTCCGAATGGTAAAAAAGAAAAGAAAGAGTAAGTTTCCAACCTGCCACGAACGCCCAGGCTGGATCACACTAGGGGGCAACTCGAAGGGGCCGGACTTTTAAAACTTGCTGAAAGCTTGGCTCAGAAGCGTCATCCCACGAAGCTCAAGAAAACTGAGGACCCTTTCACCTCCTTTGGGACGGAATAGTCAGGAGCCAGTCCGGGCACCCCTCTGCCTACTTCTTTATCCTGGCCTCGAACAAGAGGTTAAGTAACTACCCACCGACACTGTGGAGCTGCAAACTTTCAGCTCTGCGCTGCGATCCACAGAAGAGGCCTGGACATAGAGGGGCGGGAAAGACCACTCCTCCGCCCCCTCGACCCCAGGAGAGATCTGCACCGGGATGGCCGGGCGAGTGCGGTTCCCACATGTCTGTTCCGATGCTCAGAGCTGATCCCCCAACTCCGGGCAGCCGGCGCTTTTCCCCTGAGTTTCGGATTTAGGGAGCCCGCGGAGGGGCGCAAAGTGCGCGCGCGGACTGGCGCGGGGGCGGCCGCTCATCTCACCGCGGGGCCTGTCGCCGGGCTGGCCGCGGCGGGTGAGTGATGAGGGCAGAGAAGGGCGCCCATAAATCGTGGGTGTCAGGGCGAAAAACTCTCTTTATTGTCTGCGTGATGGATGGGCCCGGGGACGAGACACCAAATACTTCGTATCGCCTTTAAATGGGAACACATTTTCCGCGGCCATAATTCATGTTTTTTAAATAGAAAGTTTGAAATGTTGCCTATATTTCACCAGCCCTGACATATTTATGAATCGCTCCCTGCATGCAAATATCATTATTTAAAGCGCCAGGGAGAGCGCGGGGGAGGGGAGAAGGCGCGGTCCCCGGGGCGTGGGGGTTGTGAACCGGGGAAATGTCGGGAGGGGGGACATCTCCCTAAAGGGCAAAGGATGGAGCGCGGGGAGGAGACCGCGCTTCGGAGCTGAGCTCGCCAAGGGGCTTTCTTCCGGCTGCCAGGCAGCGCGCGGCCACGGGGGAGGAAGGTTGCGCGGTTTGGGGCGCAGGACGAACCCTGGTCTCCTGTCTCTAGGCCGGGAAATATTTCAGGTCCCTCTCCCAGGGATGGACCCAAGCTGAAGCCATCTTTTCCAAAAAGGAAGTGAAAAAAAAAAAAAGGAATTTAACAAACGTAAATAATAACCCAGTATGTTTCATGTTCTTTGCTATTGCATCGATTTATTGATTTTCATTCTGCAAACCCGGGATTGTGCGCACCCGGACCGGGCGGCTATCAGAACTCAGCCACCGCAGGGGACAGGTGAGGGGGACCATCCCCGGGGACCACCGCCCCGATCCGCCCCACCCTGCAGCCTCACCACTTCCCAGGTACAACGGCGATAGCGCAAGACGCGGGGACACCAATGACCCGGCCTCCAAGCTCCAGGGCTGCAGTCCCGCCCCTTCTCTCCCCCAGCATAGCTTCCAGGGTCTGCGTCCACCCGGCTGGACCCCCTACTGTCAGAACAATCGCTTTGGAAAAAAGCTGGGACCAGGCCGTGGCTTTTCCCTAGTCGTCCTGCCCGGGAAGCGCCTACACCTGCGCCCCTACTTGCCAAGACTTTACCTGTGCGGTCCCCAGCTGCGCCTGCGGCCGCGCAGATAACACAGAAATGGTAGGGAAGGCGGGAGAGTGGGTGGGTCAGACAGCATCACCCGAGAGAGCCCGAGGCGCAGACCCAGGGGCGTCGGTGCAGACCCGATGCTGGGACCCTAGCCCAACCCGCCAGCGGATCCAAATAGCACCAAGGAGATCCGGCAAGGGGAGGGACCCGGGGAAGGCTGCTGCAGCTGCCGGAGGGGCGGGCCCAGCAGCACTTCCGCTGGAGGCGGGGCTGCGGACTGATGCGCAGGCCCCGCCTCTCCGTCGCGCTGGCCCCGCCTCTCCGCCGCTCCTGCCCACCCGCTGCTCGCTAGGCTTCTCCCCATCCGCTGCCGGGGCGAAGAATCTTAAGTGCCAGCCCAATCCCTGAGACAGAACTCCAGGTTGCAATGGGCGGACGGTGGGTAGCTTCCTTTTTTCTGCCTTTTAATCCTAAGAACAGAAGCACCTACATGCTAGTAACGTAAACCCAGACACACATGGGAGATTTGTTCGAACTTGGGTCATTTGGAGGTCCTGAGACCTGCCGGGTCCAGAGGCTCCCAGTCTTTCTCTGGGATCCAACCAGATGTCCCCTGGGACAGGCAGGAATGCCATCAGTGCCTCCTTGTCCCTGAGGAAGAACAAAACCTGAAGATAACATTTTCTGATTGTTGGTTTTGTGCCAGGCAGTACCTAAGAACTTGGAATTAGGCCTTCGAGGCAGCCCTCTGAGATGGGTGAAAAGTGCTGGGTTGCACATATGGAAATCGAGGGCCTTGCCTCACCCCCATCCGACCTATGTCCTCTTTCTTTCCTTCAGGTCTCCAGCACTGCAGCCCATCACTCTGGAGGAGCCTTCTGAGGCTGTCGCTTCTCTGCCTAAGGGAGTGAGAGCAGGACTGGCCTGTTGACCCCCGCTGTGCAGTGGGCTCAACCCAACCCTAGCCCCTGGCCAGCCCCCAGCTTCCTGGGAAAAGCAGCCCGCTCTTTCTTTGTAGTCTCTATGGAAGCCAGTATGCTCTTTTTTTTTGGTCTTTTTCTTTTTTATCGGTACCGGGGATCAAACTCACAACTGTCTGCTTGCAAGGCAGGCGCTTATGCCGCTGAGCTAAATCCCCAGCCCAGTATGCTCTTTCTTAAAAAAAGCAAAGCTTTCTTTCTTTGTCTTCTGCTCAGAAGCATCTGAGTTTTTGCCTTTGGATCCTGTTGAGCCAACATCCCAAGGCTGCTTTGCCATGTCTTGGTTTGCCTTCATCTCCTCCTCCTCCTCCCCTCCCCCTCCCCTCCCCCTCCCCCTCCCTCTCCCCCTCCCCCTCCTCCTCCCTCTTCCTCTTCCTCTTCCTCTGGGTCCCTGCTACCCATCACCAGGATTTTTGTTTTTCAACCATGACCTTCTTTCTCCTCTTCACAAGGCTCAGTTTTGTGACCCTGGGCCATATCAGAATTTCCTGTTGACAGTTTGTCCCAGTCCCCAAATGGTAAACTCCCAGAGGGGCAGGGACTGGGGTTGTTCCTTAAAGAAATGAGGGAAGAGCGGTTATGCATCAGCTGTGCTCATGAGTAGTGATAACATACGGGATTCACTGCACTTTTGAGGGTCACCAATAAGTATTCTCTATGGTCTCATATCACAAAGTGTTTTCAATTTAAAGGGAGAGATAACACAAATCTCATGAAAAGATAATGGTTATTTTGTCTCTATATTGTAAATGCCAAATAAGTGGATGCTGGAGGAGATTGGAGAAGAGAAATATCTCCGGTATCACAGTCACTTATTCAGGCTTTCAAAGTGTGAGATATGCTGGTTGACAGGATTTAATAGAAAACCATGACTCTTCAGACGTGCACACCCCAAAACGCTAGCCTCGGGCCTGTGTCTTCTGATCACAGCTGAGTTCTTGTTACTTCCTGACTGAGGCCTGCTACAAGAGCTTTCTCCATGCTCCCCCCATCCTCAGCCTCTCTCCCTTCTAACCCATGGCACATTCTCCTGGGTGGTTAATTCCCCCGCCACATCATTCCCTTGCCTGGCAGTCTTCAGCGGCTCCCCATCATCCATCTATCACCGCTGGCTCTTCAGGGTCTAGTTCCAAACTCCTTTTAAAACCCTTTTAGTGGCATTCCAAAATTCTCAGAGAAACATGTTCACCTCAACTATGAAGATACTCAGAGGTATCAGAAGGAAGAATGTTAACGGTGCCCCCACCGCCTCTCCATGTCCTGCCCAGATACCTGACCCATCCATTTTTAACAGCCCAGCTTGTGACTTCTGTCCTTTGTCCATACTTTCCAGACTTCTACAAACTACACTTGAATCCATGGAGCTATTGTATTATTGCTTGCTCATACCAAAAAGAGTATTAGGGAGTCCCTGCAAGTCTGTCTTTCTTTTTCTTTCTTTCTTTCTTTCTTTCTTTCTTTCTTTCATTCATTCATTCTTGACAGGATCTTGCTGTGCAGCCCAGTGTGTCTTGAATTTTTGATCTTCCTGCCTCAGCCACTCAAATGCTGACACTACAGGCCATATGCCCAGCTATTTCTTGTCTTTTTTTCTGTCTTTAAAATTTAATTTCTCACTGACTCACCCAAATTAGGCTTCAACTTGTGATCTTCCTGTTTCAACCTCCCAAATAGTTTGGATTACAGACCTACATCACTGTACCCACTTTCATTTATTTTTTATAAAGAGGGGTTTATATATAGAGCTAATTTATTCACTTTTAAGCTGTAATTATTCCATAAAATGTGTGCACTACACTTAGTCCTCTATTAATGGCCATATGGGTTGTTATGGCTTTTTTTCTCCTAATGAACTTGCTTGTGTCTATTACCTTGCCAAAAAAAGTGGCTTTTTCTGTAGGATAGATTACCAATAATTCGATCACCTAGACATCACCCCAATCACATTTCTTTGATTTCCTCCTCTGCCTTGTGTTTTTGTACTCTTGTTTTATCCCTCTTAAAAGCTCTTGTCCCTTGAGTTTGTCCGGATTCCAACAGTGAGAAGACCAAGCCAAGTGAGATGACCTGAGCTGTCCGGGACGCACTTCCTCCCTCCTTGCTCACTTAACGTGGTGGTAATGAATGAGCTCCTGGAAGTGGTTTGCAATCGGCATAGGACAATCATAACATCCTGCTTTCTTCTTCTTTTTTTTTTTTTTTTTGTATTTTTACTGGTACCGGGCATCGAGCTCACGACCACAGGCTTGCAAGGCAGGCGCTTATGCCGCTGAGCTAAATCCCCAGCCCCTATCCATCCTGCTTTCTTCTCACTAGGGATGACCAATGAGGAACAAGTAGAAATAAAGGGGTGGCAAAACAGGAGGATGGCTGCTGGGAAAAACTCTAGGTTTGATGTTCAAAGGGGATCAAGCACCTGCTTTGACTCTTACCACTTTTTAAAAAAATTTTATTTAAAAGGAAAAAGAGAAAAAACAAAACGAAACAAAGTGGTGTAAGGGTACAAGTAATACAGAACTACAAAAAAAAAAAAAAAAACAAAACAGTAAGAAATCACCAGTAAATAGATTACACATCATCATCTTAGAGATAGTTGCTCAAGTCACAGTATCAAAGCATACAAAGTGAGCATTCAAACAGAGAGACTGCAAACAGTTGTGTTCAATGATCCAACCAAAAACATTAATATGGTCAGCCATTTAACACCCCTAAACACACTTGCAGTTGTATCCCTTAGAACACTTTCTTTCCCTCAAAATTTACACATTTTGGGTTTTATTACTCCTTAGTTCTTATTACTTTTTTTTTTTTTGGAAGAGAATAAAGTCAAATATGGCAAAACAAAGCTGTCAGTCAAAACCAAGGATAGACATAGTACATGATGTAAAAACAGAGTATAAGGTTATCAACAATGGTTACCATAATGTCTCTTGTTTCCTTAAAAGGAATTGTCTGTCTCATTAGGTATTATAAAGTTGAACAAAACAGTAGAGAACAAGACCAATAAAACTTAAACATTGTAAACATTACAGGACTTCCAAAGGAGACAAACTCTTTCCACTTTCTCCATTCTTCGTGAACTTGGGTGTGATAGGCAGCCATCGTGTCACCAGGAGGAAAAGTACAAGAAAATAGCAGACTTAATTCTGATGTCACCGGGATACAGAGCCACCAGCAGTGACCAACTTGCTCCAAAACTTTTGTTAAAAAAAAAATAAAGTTCCTATTTCTTTAAGTCAATGAAATTGGAGATTTTTGTATTTTCAGCCAAACATATCCTAACCTTCCCCTTTAGCAAGCACTTCCAATGATGTTATACCATGGAAATTCCACCACACCGGTCCAAAAGAAGATTCAGAAACTTATTTTAGAGACTGTCCTTCAGTATAGTTTTTGATGTAGAAACAGGCAAATATTCTTATGGGAGATGGTTTTGGTATTTTAGGATAGCCAAGTTGCTGATTGTGAACTGTGGTAAGACACTTAACCCCCAGTAAACTATTACATAGCAGACATTTGAGGTTTTCTTCTTCCTCCTTGGGTTGCCTAATATCTGAATTCCTGTCTTCTTTGTTGAAAAGCAGGGTCCACCTCTAGGAACCAAGGAGGCCAGGTCCTCCTTCCTGCCCTGTGATTGAGGTTCCAGCAAGGGGCCTCCCATCTGGTCTCAGCACCACTCAGGGCCTACAGCAATGCCATTGACTGTCTAGGGGAGGTAGAGAGCGGAAGACGGTTGCTGCCATGTCTGCTGGGAAAATATCGGCCACCCCGCCAGTGGCCTAACTAGAACATTCTCCTGGCATGACACACCGAATCTCTATTCACAGCCATTGCTGGTTCCCATCAATTTCCCAATTGTGGGTCTCTACCGTTCTCACAGATTCTGTGAGCTTCCTCCTATCCTTCTGATAGCGTCTCTTTCTGCTTAAATCAGCCAGAGCTGGTTTCTGTCACTCACAGCCAACAATATCAACTGATTTTCCACAGCCTGGCTCATTGGGTGGCTTCTAAACAGGACCGATTGTGATTACTTCTTAGTTGTACCTGTGGACTCCTATGATGGGTACCAGCGTGGAGCCCTGGTACCCACCAGCCTGGCTGAATACCTCCAACCCAGCCAGGTAATGATTTCAAGTGAAACGCTTAAAATTCAGCGGTGAGAGTCAGTCAGGCCAGGATGGGGGGAGACTCATCTTCACCACTGTCTTTTTCACCTTTTACAGAAGCCCGGTGGGGGAAGGAATTATCCCCATCTAGTTTGAGAGGGTACAGAATCTCTCCCCTCTCCTCACAGCCCACAGCCTGGATGGCACTCAGGGTGTCTGATTACTGTTTCTAAGCCATCAAAGGACATTACCCAGATTGACCACCTTAGGTGACAATCAACTCTGATTCTTCTCAGTGGAGGTTAAGAGCTTAAGTGTCTGGCACCTTGTGGTGCTCAAAAAACATATGTGGGATTCAATCAACAGCACTGGAACACCTGTAGGCCACAATTCCTTGGGGAGGTGGTGGCCTGGAACATTTGAGGTCTTGTGTGTGTGTGTTGTGTAAGAGACAGAAATAGGTTTCATCCACACTGCACTGTGCTTTCCTGGATCCCTTGGCCCCAATGCTTGCTGTCTCTGGGCTCAGTATTTATTTGTTTCTCCTCTTTTGCTCTCTGTAGTCCTACTCTCCAACCCCTTTTCCAAAGCAGAAACGAAGGGTGCAAGTGATATCATTTTACTTTTATTCCCCAAAGAGTCTACCATGAACACCAACAATCATCAATATCTGTCAGTCACATCAGCACTTTTCCAGTGATCTTCCATCTTACCTCCTGTCTTGCCCTCTGCTGCTGAGCCTGTGGTGACCCGGGCTCGCCTGTCACACTGTTCTTTGGGCACATCCACCAGGTTTACTTCAGGAGCTACAGGTGCGGCCATGTTCTGATCTCTCTGCCTGCTTCTTCAGAAGGAAAGGGGCCCTTTTGCCCTCCAACAGGGATGGAGGGGTGGGGACCAGGATCATGGCAATTGTGGCCCAAAGAGCTAGCCAGTGTGGGGAGGGCAGGCGTGACAGGCTTGGGGATGGCAGGGTTTGCAGGTCAGCTCATGATGCTGACATCATCTTCCTCCTCCTAAATGATAATCAGTCCTTATGTGGGGGCCAGTGGACCCCTCTTCTGAAATAAGTTTCATGAGTGTTTCTGGGATGAATCTGAACAGAATGAACAAGTGACCTACTTCCTGCAGAACTCAGGTGTGAAAGGTGTTAGTGAATGTGCTAAGAGGAGGCCGGCAGTCATGGGTCCCTAATGCAGGTGACGCCAAGTTATTCTAGTTAGAAAGTGTGGCGAGCTAGGTGTGGTGGCACAGGTCTGTAAGGCCAGCTCCCAGGTAGGACGACTGCAATAGCAAGTCCAGCCTGAGCCATTTGGCAACTTAGACCCTGTCTCAAAAAAACAGACAGTTCAGTGCAAGGTCCTGGGGTCAACCTCCAGGACTGGAGGGTAGAAAGTCGAGGAGGAGGAGGAGGGCTGTCTAGGAGGAAGGGCATGGGCCTGCCTTATGCAGGATGTTTCTGGGGCAGCCTGCAGTCCCATCTAAAATCCTCTTGTGTAGATAACAAGCCAAGTAAAAGATAAATACTAGCTAGTGGGGAGATGGATCTTTCTATAGGGGGAGGAGAATCAAGAGATGAAGGAAGGGGAGGTGGGGGAGGAAGAGGGTATAAAAGAGGAATCAAGATGTGTTATGCACATTCCCAACTCCACGCAAGGGAATGTAAACATTGTGTGTTGCACAAATGTAAAAACCATTAAGAAAGGAAAAACATCTTCCTAGGATATCCTCTCCCAGTCTTGCCTTCCCAAATACCACTTTGATTAGACTGAGAATTCACATTGCCCCAAGCCTCAGGACAACTACTTTCTGACCCAAAGCATTACCCCCTGCCCTGGTGCCGCTCATCTGATCCTACCACCAAAGCTTGCTCCCCCCACCCCAGGACCAGCCATCCAGCCAGCCAGCCAGCCTCGGGTGCTTCCCATGGCACCTCCACCCCCAACCTGTTCATCCGAGTAGAGCAGAGTCCAAGTGTCGGTTCCAGAGATCAGTGCTGCTCTCCCGTTTATTAGGTGTGTGACCGGGCAAGGTTCTTAGCCTCTCTGAAGTTTCCGGTTTCTCCTCTGTGAATTGGGTGTAATGAGTCCCCATCTCGCAGAGTCGGTGGAAAATTAAATAGTGCTCGGAGTGCTTGCTACAATCCCATCTCCTCGCTCCTTCTTACCTCTGAACCCCCAGAGTGCTGTGGGGGCCACTCATCTGGCACTTAATTATCTCCTAATTGATAATATCTTTTATTAGCTATTTAAATACTGATTGTCTGACTTTGTATTTGTGTGTGTGCAGTTCAGCTTTCTAATTAGGTCTTAAGTTCTTCCAGGCCTGAAGCAGATGATTTCATTGTATTCTCGTTACAGACTGGAGGCAGACCAGGGAAAAGGCAGGCACAAATTAAAGAGCACCTATTAAAAAAATGAGTGATAAAATACCCAGGATTTCCCTTTAATCCTTACAACAATCCTCCAGGCACAGACTGTGATACCCATTTTACAGCCGAGGAAACTGAGGTTCCCAGAGAGGAAATCAGTTGCTCAAGTTCCAAAGGTCAGGGCTCTTGACTTCCTTATAACAGCCTCCCGCAGCTTTGGAAATTTTTTTTTTTTTTTTTTTTTTTGTCTTTTTCCTTTTTATCGGTACCAGGGATCGAACTCACGACTGCCTGCTTCCAAGGCAGGTGCTTATGCCGCTGAGCTAAATCCCCAGCCCCTGGAAATTCTTGTAATGCCTCCTTCTGGTGTGCCAATCCCCAAAGTATGTGTTTTTCTGCTAGTCTAGTCCAGCTTCCGGGCCAACTTTCACCTCACTGAGTTTTGAGAGCCAGTTATGAAACAGCAGAAACATACACAGATGACAGGAAATACCCTTCCCCAGAAGAAGGCTGCAAGGGCATCGATTGTATCCAGGATCGTCTCAGGTCTAGCAGCTTGGGTGACTTTAGTTTTTCTTTTGCTCACGTGTACTTTCTGTTACAAACATTTGTTGCTTTTATGACTCCAGAGCAAACAGCAGTTTTGTTTGCAAGTAAGTTTAGCAGAGTTGATGATGCTCTGAACACAGGCAAGCTCTTTTCTCTGTCTTTTCTCTCCCTTTCTTCTCTCCACTCAGCCAGGTGGGAAGAGACCCACTCTTGGCACTTATGAGTCACAGGTTTGAAAGGCAGGGGTGCGTTGGAGAGAGAGGCGTGATTGGTATGGGGTGGGATCCTTTTATCCCCTTGTATCTCAAAGGCTGACAGGCTCTCAGAGGGTGGAAATGACTGGTAATTAGGGAACCTTCTCTGCCACACAAACGAAAGACACACTTAGCAGTCTCCGTGACCTCTGAGGCCTGGTGAGGCTTTGTTATGTAGATGCTCTTAATTGGGTGAATCACTGCAAACAGCTTGGGAAAGAACACTGTGGGCTGTGCTTGGGGAAGCTTCTTTCCAGGGGTTCAACTCAAAAATTGGGGGGTGGGGAGGGTGGACAGTGATTGCCTCCAGGTAAGTCCACCCCCTGCCATTGGCATGAGAAGTGGTCCCCAGGGTGTGAGTTTTTGGGGTGTCTTTAGCTATGACCTCTTCCTCCTGTTCCCTTCATCCCCCTCCTCCAGCGTGTTGGCTGGGAATACCTTGAGACATAAACTGGGTTCCCTACGTTCAAAGATCAGATGGCAGCTTGGGAGTCAGAAGCAGATTTACGTGTATGGAAGGCTCCCAAACAGCAGGCAGCAACGCCAGGCACATGGACAGGTATTCAAATGGTCTCTCAGATGCTGCCACAGTCACTCATAGGTGGATGGTTGGGAAAAGCTGGGCTTGAGAGGGGTTCTGGGGAGGGAGATGCCCAGGACATGAGGACTTTGATGAACAAAGGCTTCTCAGGACGCTGTCACACCCAGAGCCAAGGCCCCCAGCACCCTGAGCATGGCTCAGACATCAGATGAGGAGAGAGCAGTGTGGATCTGGCTTATAGGGTCTTGCATGGTGCTGCTGTTAGTCCCAGAGTATTAGTTTGGAGGGTGCAGTGCAGGGAGACTCAGATGCATCCTGTCCTAGGTAGGACCCATTATCCCTCCTCCCCATCTGGTATCTCTGTGAGCAGCTTCATTTTGTTCTTAAACTTGCCTTAAGCTGGGCCACTGGACTTGATGTCTTTGTAACCATCCCATCTTTACACCCCCAGTGCTGCTCTGTCTCCTCAGGTCCTCAGCCTCCCTTCAGATCCCCAACACTCTTCAAGG